TTCTTACTTGTTCTTTTATTTCTTCATTCTTCATGCTGAAGTGTTCTACGGATGCCCAACACCTGTTTAGCTGTCATAAACCACAAACTTCTAAAGGTTCTTTTTGCAATCGGTAGCGTATATAGCTCTAGCACCTGAGCCAAGGAAATTCTTGATAATTTTAACCACAGATACTTCTGCTGAAGGCAAATATATCGCATATAGTAAAGTAAATATCAGTTGTGCGCATACGCAGACTGCGTAATGGCAACTTTTTAGTTATGGAGGTATTTCTTTGAAATTTTACCCAAAGATGCTTTTAGTGTAACCAAACGTATCACATATTGTAAACATCAGATTAATGTGCGCATGTGCAGGCGGCGCAAAATCAACTGTTATTTATCGAGATATCTTTTTGAAATTTTAATCACATATGCTTCTGTTAAAGGCAACATAACTGATATTGCAAAATTTAAATGTGCGCATGCGCAGTCAGTTCCAGCTTCTTTATTTATCAAGATAGTTCTTTGAAATTTTAACCATACATGCTTCTAGTAAAGAAAAACATATCACATGTAGTAAAAATCGAAAACTACCTACAAATGTCATTAGGAAAAGCAAACATCTCGCACATAGTAAAAATCAAATCCACGCATGCGCAGACTGTAAAACCTTTTCACTTTTGAAAATCTCTCTACAGTTTAACCATAAACGCTTCTAGTAAAAGAAACATCGCATACCTATAGCATAAATTAAATGTGCTCATGCGCGAACTGCGCAACGTCAACTTTTTTGTTTATGGAGATATTTTTTTGAAATTTTAACCATATATGCCTCTAGTAAAGGAAATCACAGCGCACATAGCTATGGCCTTTTGGGAAGTACTGATCATTCATGGAAAATGCGCTGAAGTTAGCCGTAAATCCTATGCAGCTGTAAGGTTTCGTTGATTTCCTCCTTTATGTTTGCGAAGATTGCACGTTTTTGTGAGATGAAGAGGGCCCGTGGTTCTCATGTTCGCCTTGTTCTGTTATTCAGTTTCAGTGCCGAATAGGTGGCTGAGAAGCTGGTGGGTCGGCTTTTGTGGTCCGAACGACTGTTCGAGGAAGGCCCATGGCTTCGTTCCAGTTACTCGCTTTAGGGCGAACACCTTTTTACTTGTTTAGATCTGCTTTAGGGGTTTATTTCCGCTCTTGTCTCTTTTATGATGCTCTGCTAATACCGTTTTGTATTTAGTATCTCTCTTGCTCTCTGCTGTTGAAGTCATCAGCTATGTACAGCTTCCCCATCGCATTCTCTGTTACTTTGTTTAATTCCTCCCAGAACTTACCCTTATTTTCACATTCTCGAATTAATTCGTTTTCTTTGCGGTTAACTGCTCGTATGTTCTAAGTATCATCAAGTTTCCAGTTTTTCGTAGATCTGTCTTGGTTTAGCCCAGGGTGCATCTCTCACCGTTTTTCGGGTGTCGGTTGTCATATCCCGGCAGTTTCTTTTCAGGTCACGTGTATTTTGATCAAAGCATACCAAAATCATTATTCATGCAATAAGATCGCTGGGAAACAGACCAAGAGCATTATTTCGATGCCCAAGACATGAATTTTATGTTGATTGTTGACAATATGTCTAGGTATCTTGCGACCTATAAATAGTCGTTAAAAAATGATGGTAATATTGAGGATCCTTAGATATATCGGTGTATTGCATCTAATTTTGTGAATTTGTATAGTACATACATGCACTAAATCCTACAAACGCCATTTATTTTTTCCGACCCACGGATTAACCTAGTGACGATCTCTGGTTAAAATCATTATTTATGAACAACTTTTCAATGTTTGATGCATGCATTTGTCGTGCACATAGATATGTTAGCGTTATTCGATTTCTACGAGGAAAATTTTTCTCGTCTGTTTTAGGGTGGACCTGTCACATTTTCAAGGAAGATCATACTCATCGTACGCAATACGCAGCTTTTTCATATCACTTCATTAGGAGTAGCATGGCATTCTAAGTAGAGAAAAATTTACAACTGTCGGTTTCGTAGTTTTTAAATGTATCATTTTTGCAATTCTTGGTATAACGTAATGCAATGTATTCACAACAGCGGTTTTGAAACCTGTGCCTCTATTTTGGTGCGCTCCGTGGAAATTCCTTCAGGCGTGAGGTACTGCGCGAGGTATTTAATGATTTTTCGGGCGAAGTGGCACTTTGTACGCCTGGATTTTAGTGTGAATAAGGTGTTTGTCGAAATTTCCGGAAAGGACAATAATGTCGTCTAGGTAGCCTAGGACCTACGAGATTTTCCTTCATTCGGTGGATGACGCGTTGGAGGGTGGCGGGCGCGTTCCGAAGTCCAAAGGGCATGCGTTTGTTTCGAGGGGACAAAAGAATGCTGTCTTGTCTTTGCATTTCTCGGCTACCGCGATCTGCAAATAACCGACCTGCAGGTCGACAGAAGTCATCAGCTGGGCTCGGACTGCATGGAGCAGGTCGTCGATGCGGGGCAGTGGATAGTTATCGGGAAGGGTTACCGCGTTCAGCTTTCGATAATCAATGCAGACGAACCCGTTCGGTTTTGGAACCATAACCACAGGAGCTGCCCATGGTGATTCGCATTCTTCTATGATGTCGGTTGCTAGCACGCTGGTTAGCTCTGCCTAGAGCGTGCTTTGCTTTACGGGATCAAGTTGGCGAAACAATTGGTTGGCATATGGTCGTGTCTCGCACGTGATAGCGTGGTGGGAGCTGAAGGTACTGCATCCTTTGCAGTGAACGTCCGCTTTTCGTTTACCGCGTGCTCATGTCTTCTTACAGAGGGCGCGTCCAGGTCGTTTCGTCGCATGCTTTGAGTTGCTGGGGTCTTACTTCGTCTTGGGAGTTCGACGAAGATGTTGAAAATGAAGTTCGGAGTCCCTCTTATTTCGAACTCGTCTATGAAGTACGCCGTAAATCCTATGCAGCTGTAAGGTTTCGTTGATTTCTTCCTTTATTGTTTGCGAAGATTGCACGTTTTTGTGAGATGAAGAGGGCCCGTGGTTCTCATGTTCGCCTTGTTCTGTTATTCAGTTTCAGTGCCGAATAGGTGGCTGAGAAGCTGGTGGGTCGGTTTTTGTGGTCCGAACGACTGATCGGGGAAGGCCCGTGGCTTCGCTCCAGGTGTGAGGTGGAGATGGTCAAAAGGGGTGAAAATCACCCCTCGCCACCCGGTCGCGGCGTTTTTTTTATCATTGCTTATACGTGATGTTCGCATCGATGAATAAATGCTTGGGCGACCTCCGTACCGTTAGAAGCGGGCGGTGCAGTTTGTGAATGACCCTCCGGTGGCAGGAAAAGTAGTCAGATAAAGTGCTGTTACTGCACTGCCATGGAAAGCGAACATTTCCTGACTAAAGTAGGCATGACGATTTCGTTTTCAAGAAGAAATCGATTAGGTACCTATATATGATTTTTGAAAATTAGGTCTGAATTTTGATTTTTGTTCCCCACCTTTTGCATACAGCTTTTTTACTTACCTATCGAGATTCCGAAATGATTTCTCACACATTTTGAGTTATTGCATTTCGGCTTCAACCCGATTCTTACTGTTGAATTGAAAGCTCTGTGGCTTTTTGAACCTAGATCATATTTTCTGCTTAAAAACCTTCCCAATGTGGGTGCCAAATAACTCATCCAGCTTGAGGCGTTTTAGCCCACAGACTGTTCATTTCAACAATGAATTTAGGTAGGTACCTATTCGATTTTCAAAAACGTCGATCTCTATCTAAATCGGGCCAAATTGAAGCACCTGTCTCGTTCAAGTTGGGAACGTTAATCCTACCCTTCCCTTCCCATATCTTTCGCGCTATATATGTGGACAGGCGATTAGGAATCATTGCGAAACATGCAAATCACACGAAATCGTGGCGCCAATCTTCCGCGAAAATTTGACTCATTCAAATCGGGCAAGGTGTGTGTAATTGGATCAGGAATGAACCGTCGCCGCGTCCTTGTAGTAAAAATACTGAAATTCTTAGAAGGGCGCCCGAGTGCATACCTTAATGCATTCTCATTCATTTTTCGGGATAATGAATGGAGTGGCGGCGCCCGCTATTATATTTCGTCTCGATTTTTCTTACAATAATAATTATAGGTAAAATAGTGCGACCGATGACTTCAATTTAATCAAGGAAGTACGTAATGGAACAAAGGTAATGAGGAATGGCGCCGATAACTGCATCGGCTACAATTAACTGTTTTATTGCGTTTTTTTTTCTTCGACGCGCAAGGTGCCTTTTGCGCCCGGCTAACTTAATTAAAAACGCGCTTTAGTGTGAAAATTTAAGGACGTCTTTAAAGGGATTCTTACCCTTGTAACCTTCTAATTGAATGTTATAAAGTTACAGGAAGAAAGTGTGGGATTTCGGGGGGTATTATCCAAGTTCGGCCTACAAACAAGCTGTTGGTAACGTAAATGGTGACATTTGTCGGATTTCATCCCTCGGTTTGAATTTTTTGCGCGTCACACGTGTCGGCTGCGAAATCGCCGTTTGCGTACGAAAACCGTGCACTTTTCTCCGCTACGGGCCTTTTCCGAGACGGGGTTGACGATTTCGGCACGTAAAAATTCGAAATTTGTTCGGATTTTGCGGTAAAAATTAATATAAATCTAATGCGCACTGGAGCAGTTCGAGCGCGGTGGCCATTTTATGATACCCCGTTCGTCCCGCCAGTCCATGGTCCGACTTTTGCGTCTTTGAGCGATAATTTCGGCACGAAAGACGCTAAAATTGTGATTCTTTTTGGTCTCGAAGGGTAAAGGGAGGTAACGGCGTCGAATTTGAATCATAAAATGTGCCGGAATGACGTCGGGGGTGTAAATAATGTTAAATTTCCTTTAAGGAAGGTCGCGTTTTCCCACCACAGCGTTCACGAGTTCGTGATGTGATACGATCTACTAAAACGCAAACGTTATTTAGCTATCTTTCTTTCTCTTATTTAAAGTTTAGGAATTGAATTTTAGAACGTAAGTTTACCAGTTGCTATGCGGTCTTGCCAGTTTGCAAAGCATTTCATTTTCCTAGTCGCAAATTCCGTGCCGTTGAGAATGTTAGTGCTTCTCGCTCTCTTGGACCACCTTAAAAATTCAGGGCCTCCCTCGACGATTTGGAGTAGCACGTAGTTCAATGTAAGTTGTCATAAAAATTTATTTACCCTTTTAATTTATTGCGAATTTTTGGACGTTATTCCAGGGTTACTTTTTTAAAATTTATCGCAAAACTGTTTCATCCCCTTTTCTTCCGCATTAAATGTTCATTTTTCGTTTTGCGAAATTCCACAAAAGTCCCGTTGACAGTTTGGCAATGTATGCGAGCGGTCTTTGGACTTCCAATTGGACTTGCAGATAAATCGTTTACAGTGTCTACTTTTATTTTAGTTTTTCGGGTCTAGGAACTTGCAAGATTATAATTGTAATGATGTGGGAGCGCTGTCTAGCCTAGACAGGGGCCCTGTTTAGGAGAGTCTCGTCTGGCCCATCGAATTACCGCTAGTCATTCGCCAATTTTTTTCATGCAGCAGTTCTCACGATTCGAACATTTACCCCAAATTCGCACTCGACCGTCACTTCGTGTCAAAACGCGATGCATCAGGTGCATCATTTTTTCATTTCCTACATCTCGGAGGAGGAATTTTGAAATTGTCGCACTTACTAATAAGGAAATCGATACATCTACATACAGCTGTATTAAAACATTTATATAATGGTGTTAATACGCTTATTTATGTGTGACATATCTAGACAGTGTACTTGTTCGAGTTCGATGACCTTAGACTTGGGCATATTCTTGAATCATTATAAATCGTTAATATCGTGCAAAAATTCGATACACATTTCGAATCTAAACAGATTTCGCGTCGGAATTTTTTCGAAAAAAAAAACTGATAAAATTCGTAATTGGAGCACTTTAAAAATTTAAATGGTCTCGTCATGTTGTGTTAATGGAATGACGCAAATGTATGTCGCTGTTTGTGTTTTAAAACATCTTATCACTTTATTATCACGTCGTGTCTCCATAGATCGCGTCGAGGCGCTTGATATTGTGATGTAACTCATTGGCAATATAAGGATTGCGCACACACTAATCCACTGTATAAATATTTTCTGTCCTAAATTTGCGTCAACATGCACTCCATAAATTCTTTCGCTTGCAAAACGGCACAATTACAGACCGACTGATATCTTTGGATAAATATATAACGCGATTATCTGGCGTCGTACCGTATTTCTTTTGAGATTACTTCGAAACGCTCCTTGGTCAATTTGTATTTGGCCTTGAAACACGTACGTCAATGGAAAATTTTTAGGTATAGCGATGTTTCTTCGGCAAAAAAACTAGCGGAAAAACGTGACAAATCATCCCTTAATGATCGTGCATTGGGTGATATAGCTAGTTGAATTTGTAAATAGGTACCCAATAATCGCGAATATTCCGAAAAGTACCGTACTTTCTTCATCTTTTGTCTCGAGTAAAATCGCGATGATGTAATCCTTCAAGGGATAATTTTCTTTAGCCACTATACTTTGGATCAACGCAATTATACCAAATCATTGTTATAAAACCATCATTTTTATGCATTAAGTAGGTAAAATATTAGAGGGTCCATTTTGGCTGTAATGGAACAATTTACTGCACGAAAGTGATCCTTTTATTTCACTACTTCAGAACAGGGATGCTCTGGCACCGGCTTTGTTGACGTAACTCAAAACCTCGTAACTGGCTTTAGGATTTTCTTCAAAAAGGGATCCACGCTATTTATTAGCCGTTGTAAATTCGTCCAAGTGTTTATCCATGAACAGTTTCTGCATATCATTTAGCCAAAATTTCTGCGGATTCTTGGATTGCAGGTTAAGGTCTTTACAATCTGCACGTTTCTGGAGTTTCGTTGATCTTCTTGAGCAATTCTCCAGCTACTCTGCTCTGACTAAATTAATTTTGGTCATTCGGACTTTCTGTCCGTCAGTCTGTGTTGGTAGCTCCTTCTCTATATTTGTTTGAACAGTTGTTTTGGAAGGGTTGCGAGACCAACGAACTACAGTGTTCTAGATTGTGGCTCTTGGTAAAAGTTTCGTTAAGTGTAATTTTCATAGTTCAAGAACCAGAACAGTATTTTTTTAGAAACTTCGGTGCTTGCGTTACTATAGGTACAGAGGGAGTTCCATTTCAAACAGAAGCATCGATTGTAATTGTGCAAAAAATCTAAAATTGCAAAAGTCATGTCCATGTAGACAGCTCGGGGGAAGCTTATTGAAAATTTTTAGCTCCCCCCCCCTCTCCTCCCCCCACAAAATCAAATGTGAGTTTCAATTTTTAAAAAAACGACAATTATACACGACCCTCCTGGCGCAGTGCGGTGCATGCTCGATTGCGGTACTAAGCATCCCTTGCAGCGTTGCCATGAATTAATTTAAATGACTAAAATTCTAAGAATGAATTTAAACTTTTTCCAATGGGAACAAATTGCATTATTTATTTACTCCGAATGCAAATATTAGATGGGGCATGATAACCGAAAGTGCGTAGGTTACAAATTAAAGCATGGTTCGGTAATTCTACCCCGTGGAGGGGTGCAAATTTATATTGGCATTTTGTAAAGGGTTGAAGATTTTCTCGTGTAGTGTAAATTCTTGTAATTTATTCGTCTTATGATGTTGCTGAAGTACTTTTGAAACTTTGCCTTTTTGTATGTACATACTTTCACTTCCAGCTAGCTCAGGTAAAAATAGTTTAAAAGAGGAAAGAATGTAGTTCACTTCGCTTTCACTGATATTTAATTCATTGTCAATAATTTGTAACCAAAATTTGGAAAAGTTTGGGTTTATGTAATTCTCATGCAGACCTCTCTTTGATCCAAAAGCTCTTCTTACATTCCTTTTTGTAGAATAGCAATAATTCCAAAAAGTTAATAAAAACTTAAATACGTTTATTATTATTAAATCTTGAAATAATGAAAACAAAAATTCTGGCAGCCACCCTAAAAGACCAACGCCCTAAATTTAATTGAAATAAACCGATTCAACGAAATATCAAAGGATCCGCCGTCATTACATTTTTAACAATCATTTATTTTAACCTTGCAAAATTCATATAGTAAACAGAAATGTATCAAGTTTATGTCTTGGGCATTGAGATAATGCTTTTGGTTTTTTCCCAACGATCTTGGTGTAAAAATAACGATTTTGACATGTTTTGATCAAAATCCATGTGGCCCTCAAAAATGCCTGAAAGTCATGTCCATGTCTTGAGATAATGCTCTTAGTCTTTTTCCCAACGATCTTGGTGCGTGAATAACGATTTTGGCATGTTTTGATCAAAATACACGTGACCTCAGAAAAAGTCTTTGAATCATACACGCGCGGTTGATGCGTTTAATGCACTTGAAAGCTTTCACAACTCCAAATTCTTGTGTAAAGAATAAATTTGGGTACATTTTGTTCTAAAACTTTTGACCTCGATCCCATATATTGAATTGTTACGTATCTAAGAGCTATTGGGAATAGTCTAGCGATAGTCCGAACTCGATACATGACCTAGAGAATGAAATATGTTGATTTCTATTATACTGAGCGCACAGTTTTTCCCTCGGTTTTTCCTGTTCTCGATTCGTATACGGACGGACAGACAACAATACAAAACTGTATACAGGATCTGCAAATAAACGTTCGATAAAACGCACACAAATCAGTTAATTTAGTTCACTCTTTTTCATTATCAAATGTAGGTAATGAAACAATGTACCTTTTTAATTGTTGCAATGGTAGCAGACGCTGACCTCAAGCGGGCGGAGCCTTTTGTCGCCTCGTCTCGAATTTCTCTCTGGTAGACTCGAGGGTAGACTTCACGTAGTGGTTTTGCACACTGGGATGTCTACATTGCTTTTCTCCAATGGAGATCCTGCTAAAATTAAGACATATTAAAGCGGTCCTGTAAAAAAAGTAACTAATACTTCGCTGGTGATTATTCAAATCTCCATTCACCAATGGGAGGTTTTATGATGTCGATAATGAAGCTGAAGTGTGTCTTCTTAGTAAATTTATTACAACGTTGCTATTTTTTCGCGAAGAAATTTGCCAGTAAACTTCTTTTCTTGCACTCACTTTTATAATTTACTTTGCCCTGAACTATCGGACCAACCCGCTTTTAAAATACCAAATTGCTGCTTTATACGTGTCGCCTGCCAAAGAGCGAATGCTACTTCACTCCCCCTCATAAGTCATAACTCATAACTGTGGCGCCATGCTAATCAAAGTATCTCCAACTTTGGAGACTTCCAAGAAAACTCCCAATTAATTAACTTCTCCCAAAAGAATAAATCCCAAGTTAATAACGATTAAAAATTAATTACTGAATCTTAAAACTACTTTCCACAAATAAATTGATATTCCGGGCACGTATAGGACCAAGTAAAACATAAGGCGACTCCTTGAATAAAGTTAGACGTTGACTCCAAGAAATGAGCTCACTTCTCGCATCCAAATCTGAAAACAGTAAAAAAAACCTCACCAGCCGCAGGGCTCGGTATATATAATTTGTTGATTAATGACTGAAGAGCCTCGCTGTACTCGTAGTCTACTTCTATACCAGGTACGGTACTTAATTGACCCCCTCCTTATGAAGGAAGTGGTGGTCTCCAACAACATTTGCGTTTCAAACTCGATCGTAACATAGCCGAGATGGGAAGGATACTGAGTAGGCACTGATGTTCATAAATACTTAAATGTAATAGCCCTTGAAGGGGCAAAGTAGTTATCAAGTATGACGCTAAAGAGTTACAGAAATTGTCCCTTATGAGGGTCGATTCTCAATGTTAAATCCCCTTCATGATCCGGTGATCTCTCTCACAGCATTTTAACCCAAGGTTACAAAACTTGTAAGTCGAACAAGAATCGTATGTAACGTAAAACGTATCCCGAACATGCACCCTAAAAGAAATCAAAGGTAACCCTCTTCTTTATGACATAAAATTGACCTACCTACCTCTTACCTCGTAGATGAAGCAGCAATTGTCGATCGAAAGTACAGTACAACAAATTACAGTCGAAACCTAAAGAAGGGATACTCTAAATATCCGAAATGCACATGGCGGTACTTACGATAAAAATGGAAGAAGGCAAATGTATAACCTCACTAGGAGCACAGGTGAATTGGTCTAAACTATTTCCAAATTATGATCCAATCGCCAAAGATCAATATATTGGGAACATGGCAATTAGAATTCCGTGCGTTCTACCTTAACGCTTTCAGCTGTTTTTTTTTAATCAACGTGTACGTGGATACGGCTTACGAAGAAAATGAAAGATTAACAGCCAAAAATCAAGGCGCTGGCAATTTGCGCGGATAAATTTCATCAATAGATCGAGCCATCTATCAATACGCTTCAAAGGTTAGGGGGATTTTTAACAATAATAGTGCATCGTAACGGAGAAAGCGAATTGTTAATTCACCGACATTAACAAGTGTCTTGTATTTTGTTTGCATTCAGTGCTCTGGGTCTTAACTCGTGAATAATTGTCAGGTGGAGTGTTATGAACTTAGTCCAGTAAGAATAGACCAAAAAATGACAAATAGGTGAACTAAATCATGTATTACTAATTCCTTCGGAAATGTGTAGCAGAAGATTCCCTGATCAACATATAATAAAGTCCCCCCGACTATCGGGTGTGCTAGAGGGGGAGGGGGGAGACCTCCACCCCTTTAGCACAACCGGTAGTCGGGGGGACTCTATTTAATGTTGAATAGGGAAACGTCCCTTACACAATTCCGAAGGAACTGGTAATACATGAATTTAGTTCCTTTATTTTTCCTATTCTGACTGGGATTTACTATGATATAATCGGGTTATTGTTTCTTCCAATAGATCCTGATGTAATTCCCCCGTTAAATTTCCTTGTAGAAATATCGGCCCAATAATTTTATTTCTAAACATACCTGCCCAAGATTAATTTTCTGCGGAAATTGGGTGCGATCTTCTCAAAAAAGTGTAGATTTTCGTTGTTCCAGTACCTCCAATTCTGTTTGTTTGGGAATCCGTTTAAGAAAAAAGTAAAATCTTCGATGAAGAAGATGTTTTTGAAAGAATTAGGATCTTCGTCAATTCCTTGAACTATTCGCAGTCAAATTCTCCGATCGTAATCATTTTCTTTTTTATAGAAAGAAACTCAGAGTTTTACGAACTGACTGTCCATTTTGCGACCGATTGCATTTATGAAGAACAAACAAGCACAGTAGTAAGTAACAAAAAATTATTTTTTCTATTTCGATGTGGAAACAATACCGAAACCGTACTTGATTGGCCCAGTTTGCGTGCGTTTCTAGACAGAAATGATGCCGAAAGAAATAGAAACGCATTATTTTTTTATTTTGTTGGATTGGTACCCCTTGCTTTTTTGCTGTCAACGGTATCCGTCAAATCAAAACTAAACATAACCTGTAAAGTGTAAATAACGTACGAGGAACTTGACCGATTGTATTAATTCCGATTAATTTTGAATATATACTCCAAAGGGTAGAACTTTTTTTTATTTTTACTTAGCGTAGTAAAATATGCCAGCAGTACATTCTTGCTTACTTTTTGAACTCCCCTTCTCGGTGAGCCAGTTTTCAAAAATTTTGTACTCTTCGTACTTTACTTTCGATTTTACAGGCAGTAAATTTAACGTCGCTTCATTGGTAATCTCTTGGATCTCCGATGGGGTACAAGAGACGTGTTTGTCATCCGTATTCATCGTAACTGCCGCAAAATGGAATTATGACCAAATACCTAATTAAAAGTTTGAAGTTTGAAAATACAGGAATCAGGTTAGCCAACGTGAAAATAAATGAATTGTGTCTATTACCAACATACACTGAATGATAGTTTAAAATTACCTAACAACGCCTAAAGGCAATATTTATAATTTGTATAATTTATTATTTAAAATAAAAGTCGAAATAGAAAAAATAGTATAAAGCACACGTGTCATTTGTCTACTTGTCGCACTCGGCTTTTGCCGCATTCGCCGCTACGCGGCTTATGCGGCAAACTACCTCGTGCGACAATCTTCGTGTCAAATGACACTTGTACTTTAATATACTATTTTAGTGGTGTAAACGGTATCGTACATATTTCAGCATGTTCTTGACTCGTCTAAATTTATCTACCAATAACCAACCAGCAATAGGTTTCGCATATTTTATGTGAAGTTAGCAACGATTATGCAGCAACAAATATGTTAGATATCCACATGGACATAAGGACGTATTATAAAATCCTGTTTAGGATTATCACTTCATAAAGACACCAATAAAATTTATACACATTTTAATATATAGGGTGAAATAATTGTCTGGAACTCTGAATATATCTTCAAAACAACAAGAAACTTTATGGTATCCAAAATTATAGAAAGTCAAACCAATCTACGTACTTTTAAATTTGTGACCAGTAGCATACCGGGTTATTATTAATTACATTTTGACTCCTTGTAATTCACTTTCTATCAGGTTTTGCCAAAATAAGTGCTTAGTGTGGCCTAAACACACATTTTCAAATTTAGTTGGATTATACAGGGTGTCTCAAAAGCGATCTACAGTCCCTATCTTGAAAATTCTAAATGGGACACCCTGTATTTTATTCGATTTTTAGATTCTCAGACAAATCTATACAAGATGGGAAGCACCAAGCCTTAACACTTTCTTAAAAATGCAACAGCCTTTATCTCGAAAACGATAAAAAATATTTTTCTCGGAGAATTTGAGGTTATGAAAAAAAAAATGCAGATACAAAAGTTGTTCATTTTTGTATTCCCCTCGCCTTTTAGTTGGAACATTTTCACTTAAAACTGATACTTATACTACAAATTGCAAAATATTACTGTGTACCCTTCTCAACCCCCAGGATTTCGCCCGCAACAAAATTCAGCTGTTTTAATTTCTTTCCCCGATTTTTTTTTAATTGCCTTTATTTTATAGTGGGCGGAGTGTTAGCTAATTAGCTACTCAACGCACTATATAATCACAAACAGCCATGCCTTACCTGGGATTCGAACCCAGGACCTTTGTAGCCAAAGTTAGAGCTATTAACGTGAACTCATCTGAGCTACGCGGGTCGAATCACTTTACCTACATCAAAACCCGGTTGGTATAGGGAACTAGTTTTTTTTTAATATTACTATATAGCCTGGACTAAAATTATGTTATTAAATGTGTGAGAAATGAGTACATAAAAAAGTAGTATGTAAAGCATGCGGAAAACAATTCCAATCTATGGTTAACCGCATGCAAAAACACAAAAGTAACTGTAACAAACAATGCTCCCGAAGAGGATTAATGGCTCAGGATCCTCCGGATGTGAAGAAAATGCCGCCAACTGCAGCAAAAAGAAAAATATCGTTATTAATTCAAAAAAGTATTACAAATGTTTTACTTTAAGTCTTAAGAAGTCAAACATCGGGTTCATTGTAAACTCCCCTTTAAATTTAGACAGAAAGGACAGAAGGTATTCAATATGATGCCACAGGCATGTCTACTGTATTAATTTCCCTTTGTAAAGCAAGTACTGTATTTCTCATGGACTAAGTGAAAGGAAGTTGATGATACACAGAATTTGATCTCTACAGATAAATCCCACTTTATTTTCCAACGAGAAATTTATATTTGTCATCTGAAATCCAACCATCGTCGTCATAAAATAGAAATAAGTAAATTGTGCTTGATATACAAAAACTGCAAAACGTTGAACTCCTTCACAATGTAGTTGGTAATGAACAACCTGAAATTGCAGCAGGATCAAGAACCACTGAAAGAATTCGGTTTCAATTTAACGTCTAGAAATCAGTCTAGGTCTAGTCAGAAATTTGAATAAAGACAGCAAAATTGTAAGTTGTAATTTTGAGGAAGCTCTAAGTCGGTAGCTAGTGAGCTTAGGGTAAAGAAATCGATAGATGGACTCCAAAAAAACACTCCCGACAATTGTATGTAAAAGTAGAACTATTTCCAACATTTCTTTTTTTGGGGGGGAAAATCCGTGGTACATAATTATAGATTTGAGTGATTCACTATTCAAAAAAAATTCGGAAGTTTCCAAAATTTATAAAGTTTTTAAAAATCATGCTACCTAAACAGGAGGGGTGCGTCCACGTTTGAATTGCAATATCGAACGAAACTACAAAAAATTATTGGAGATGAGAAAAGACACCTTGCAATAGTAATCGCTCGTGTATGGTTCTTTTCGTCTTCCGTTGGTTTTCACTGAAAATCCTCGTTTTACTTGTAGCTGAAAATTTATTCATTCATTATATGGCGGATATGTGAATAAAAGGAACGAGAACAAATCGCATTATCAATAAACTCAGACTTATACTTGTGTTTTTTTTATTACATTTTTGGTACCTTAGACTGTAACAAAGGATACCGTTGTTTACTCACCAATTTCTTTTGGAAAAGTTTAGGACCTAGAAGATAAATCGTGATCAATTGGAACAAGAACGACGAAAAACGCGCTTGCATCCATTTTGTTTGCTCAAATCTGTTTTTGTACTATGATTTTGCTACTATTATGTTCCGACACTTTTCGGCAGGATATGTCGATATAATTGCCATTTACGTTGTTAATCCTGTAATCCTTTACGAGTGTATAAGCTCGAAATCCCAGATTTGAAAAAAAAGGACGTTCGTTAGTGTACTTTGGGTGTATGAAATTCTCACGGGAATGCTGACAATCACTCGAAATTTTTAACCGATGCCAGGACGTGTCTGGGCTGCAAAATAGCTAATTATTTTGGTATTAACCCGCACAAACTTAAATCGCGTCTGTCTAATCAACTACGAACCGTTGCAACTTTTGCACATATCAGATGCCGCACGTGTCTCGGATTTTACTGTAAGGGTTAATTCTGCGGGAAGCAACAAGTGGGCGTGCTTCCACTGAAAGAACTGTGCTCATTTTATGCACTGTCCTTACTTCATACGTAAATCGCGCACCTACCTCACAATTGGGTCTAAGGTTGGCAAAAAATTGTTGAGGGTGTTTTTAATCTTTTCTTTAATTAGGAAGGTCTCTGAAGGGATAAGAGAAATGTTTATAATTCAACAAATTTCTTTGAAAAAAATTGTCAATTTCGAAATGATCCTATATTTTCTTAGTTCAGAGACAGAAAAATGTTACTACAAAAGTTTCTTTATCATAATATTCATAATTTTTGATTTGCCGTTTTCAAAATAGTATAAGTAAATAGTTGAGTAATAATTTTTTTTAATGGAACACTATCTTATTCTGTAAAGGTAGCATATTAAATTCGTTTCAAAAATATAACACCAAAACTTTTGTTGCTGACCCCCTTCAGCAATCATTATAAAGAATCTTTTGTAATAAACATTTTTGATCTGTTTCAACTAGGAAAATATAGGGCCTTTCTAAAATTAACCATTTTTTATTTGCCCCTGTATCTGTAAACGAGTTAATATTTTCAAATTTTGATTTTACCATTTTAAATTTTACGTGAGGAGTCGACCCCTTCAAATTTTGTGTACACTAAAATTCTAAACTTTCTAGATTCTAGAAAATCCTCAAAATGGTATAAAATGTGGTACATATTCGTTCGGGGAAAAAGTTCTCAAGAAGTTTTAGAAAAAAAAATTGTTTGGATTCCAAAATATCCAAATATGTATTCTAAAAAATTATTGAAAATGCTACTAGTGTATACCAAAATTTTACAGTGATATTTTCCCCTTGGTTTTACCAAAAAAGAGCACATGACGCCTATATTACTATTTTGATAGCACTAACAGATACGGAGATACTTTATAAAAGTGTCGCAAACTCACTGAACCCTCTCGGGACTCTGAACGTAATACTTTCCCAAGTTCACAATGGAGAGATGAAATTATATATAAATTCAGAATTAGGAAAAGTGACACATTGTTCTGCAATCGGAAAGATCTACAGTTAACACTTTAAGAAAGCAAGTTTACACTGATAACGTTTGTAAAAGTTCTTCGAGCATTGCATAAGAACCTTTGCCCTTTGGTATTCCTCTTCCCTGCATCTTTCCACTATACTTGTCCCTTAAAATTTTGAAATGGCATGGTTTTTTTTCGAGAATCGTGAATACCTCGGACACAGCCCAATTGTACGATCCCAAAGAATTGTCTTCTTTTTGTCATACACAATGCCATGTTTCCTCTTAATTTCAGACCCATGTGGCTTATGTTCGCAAAAATATATGAATAGAAAACGAAAAAAAACAGC